ATTGTACTACTTCACCCTTACCAGGATTATAATTTTTATTGAGTTGGTTATGCTTTAATGTCTATGCCTGTTAGAGCGTACTAATACAGAAGGGATCTGGAGCTGCATTGCCATAAGGCTCCTTTCTTACCCCTGTAATTACACCCATTTCTCTAATGAGCAGAACAAAACCCGCCTTTGACAAAATAGACTGATCTTTGACAGTTTTATGGAAGTAGGAGGCCTTTGTGTGCCTTTCTGGTGTTCGCTCCTGGTGCTCCAGTGCCGTGATCTTGGATCACCACCTGCTGTCTGCTGCAAGAATTCATCCTGTGTCGCATTTGCTGAACCACATTGCTTCTTGTCGAAAAGTCTTCCCCAGCTCCCACCCTTCAGCACGGCACCGCTACGTGCGGTTACTTACCGTTCATCCACTTAGCTTGGAGCTACAGAGCTTGTTAATTAAGTTAAAGCTGCCTAAACGCTTAGAAATATGTCCCCATTAGGGATTTTTCACTGATTTAGCTAATTTGTTTTTTAAACAAAACGTGGGGTGGGCAAAACCCTGATGTAAGGAAGGAAGGTGGCACCTATGAGGACATGACCTTTGTAGGGCTGAGAATAAAGACCTAAAAGGGGAGCGGAGATGGGTAGGTGTCTCTGTCCCTCTTGCGCCCTGAGGGCTTAGATGCCGATGAATCAGATGTCAGCATTTTGCAAGAGGGGAGCTACTCTGAATTCCTACCTGATATGGATGAGCCATTTCCTTGAGAGCAGACCAATAAAAGGAACAGAAAACGTAGGAATTGCTGGTTTTCTTTAGACTGTAGGTTACCCTATTTTGTACTGAAGTTTAATTTCTTTTTCTTAAGGGACATATGTTAGTTACAGTGAGTTCCAGTTGCAGTGAACGGCCTCTCCCAGTTTGGTTGCAGCAACACATCATCAGTAGGGTAAAACTAACCTGTCTCACAATCCAGCAATCCAACGCTTGGTGAGTTCTGCTTCACAGTGATAGGAAGAGCCGACATCGAAGGATCAAAAAGCAACGTCGCTATGAATGCTTGGCTGCCACAAGCCAGTTATCCCTGTGGTAACTTTTCTGACGCCTCCTGCTTAAAACCTGAAAAGCCAGAAGGATCGTGAGGCCCCGCTTTCACGGTCTGTATTCGTGCTGAAAATCAAGATCAAGTGAGCTTTTACCCTTCTGCTCCGCAGCTAGCATGGTCAGTGCGTGGCAGCACAAAAGCACGGAGGGAATTGGTTAACCTGGAACTGCCAAAATTATTCCTGCAGCCAAATGTCCTGCAAGCTCCCCTCCTGAGACCTCTCAGCCAAAGTGCAGGGTGGCTGGCAAAGTATCTCTCTGCTCCTGAACATTAGTTCTGATTTTTTTTTCATGCTGTCACACAAGTTGAAGATGTCACTAGTTTTGTAGGGAGCTGCAGCAGGACTTTCCTAGTCCTGTGATAACATCCTTGCATGTGCTTGGGGATGGTGACTATTCTTGGACATCTCTGTCTCGGTCTGTTGTTGCATTTGAGTCACTGTTGAAGAGAATTTTGTGAGCTAAAACAGGCAGGACTGGCAATGCAGTGAGGCATATTGTCGAGACTGGATAGACAAAATGCTTTCAGTTGAGTCTCTCCTACGTATGTACCTTCACCAGGAGGTTTGGGAGTTTCTCCGTGTTCTTTGTACCTCCTGAAAAGTGGGAAAAGCAGTGCCTCTGGCTGGGAGATTTTCCCTGGTGGGTTAGAAGTAGGGAAACGAGTTCCAGTTCTATGTTTGAAGATAAACGAGTTGGGTTTTTTTGCTGTGTTAGTTCTTTGAAATATGAAGTGGTGTGTAAATGTTGAAATTTGGTAGAATAACAGAAAAGGTAGAATCTCCTCTGGGTTTGGAGGATATCAGTATGCTGTGAAACCTGCAGAGATCTCATCGGGAGTCCTTTTCTGTAGACACTAGTGGAAACAGAAAAAAAGTAATTCTAAAGCATCAAAGGAAATTAAAATTACCTCCAAAAAAATTCAAATGGAAAACGTGTACAATCACATCAAGAAAAAAATAATTTGAGATACGGATACTCCATGGGGTAATGAAACCTGGACAAGCATAATCATCATAGATCTACAGATAACCTGAGACGTTAAATTAAGGATACGTTTGTAATAAAAGCTACTATTTTTGGAAGTTAGGGAGATTTGGGGGGGAAAAGAAGTGACAATGGTATTAAAAATATTTCATTCTGCACCAGAAATCCCTTATTTCAAAATCTTAGGAAGGTCAGAGAGAAGTAATAAATAAAGTTACCAGGATATTTTGGCCTGCGAAGTGTGATTAAGCTCAAAATAAAAACGTATTATCAAAATGCCACAAGCAACAGAAGAGAGAGCGAGTGTTTTTCATCCTTCAAACATTGGTAGATAATTGAAGAAAGGAGAGGAAATATTTAAAAGGTTGAAATGTGTTTAAACCAGTAGGAGCAGTATTAACTGAGGAGTAAAAACGTTGAAAATAAGATTATATAAGGTTTATGGGCTGGCATTTTAAGTAGCCTAAGAGTGAGATTAAACAAAACATTGGAGTGTGTCCTTTGGGGAGCAGCCCTGCACTGTTGAGAGGACTGCAGAATAGGTTTTGTTTGTGGCTAATTAGCATTCTCTTCCTCCTATCCGGGGTACTACTGGCTTGTAAATCTAGCTTGTTCTGAGAAAATTTGAAATAGTTTTCTGCTACTGCAGCTGCTTACCCTACCTATTGTTGGATTTGTTTTCTGTGGTTGTTTTTTTTTTAAAGAGATTGGTTTCATATTTAGCTCCTAACTTAAACAAAAGAAAGGGGCAGACAACGTGGGCCGTATGGAAACACACAGACAAGTGGATCTAATGAAATATTGTAAGCAAAAGAGCTCGAAAAGGAGACAATATGCTGATGGAGTGGAGCTGCCGTGACGGGGGATAAATAGTCCGATTAGGTGAGCGATGGGGTTGCTCGAGACTTACTTTGCCATGGGAGAGCCGGTGACCAGCCTCTCCTCCCTCCCGTTCATCAAACTCCCCCTGCAGATCCTGTGGTTCAGGTTGAGGGTCAGAACCTCCTCGCTTTGAAGCTGAGAACGACAAAGGCGTGAGCAGAAGTAGGGTCTGGGCTGGTGGAGCCGCCCCTGCTTTTGGGTGGTGGTGGTGGGGGAAACCCACCCCTATCACGCACTCGATGGAGAAAACCTCCGTGGAGCTGCCAGCACACGCCGTGGGGCCGCAGCGGGCTTGGGGGAGCTGCGTGCAAGGAACCGAGCAGGGGCTGCGTGAACGGCATGCTCACCTCAATTTTTCTTTCTTGGGTGAGGCTGCGGAGTTTAGCGTTTCCGCGGGTGGCTGGACTCAAGTTAACGAAACCCGTTAGGCGCGGGCCAAGGCTGCGGCTCGGCTCTGCTAAGCGATATCGAATGCCCTTCCCTCTCCTTCTGCCCGACTGCCGAAGCGTGTGGCCACGTGGCCCCCGGGGGAAGCAGGCCGGATCGACTAATGTCAGAGCGAATTTGGGACTCAGCCAGTGTCCGAATAACCCGGTGCTGGCTGGAGGTGTGCTGCGCTTATCATTGTTTCCTTTGCCCGGAAGGGAAAGCTGCAGGTAGGCTGATAAAAGGGACTGAAAGGTTTGTCCGGCTGCACTGGAGGTCCGTGAGCCCCTGCGTGCCCTCTGCGGAAAGGCTGCTTGGTAATTCACCCACTCTGCCTTTCCTTATCCGCAGGATAAGGTCTGCTTCTCTTTTACTAAGCT